ATGAATGGCAGCCATGCGTGTTTTTAAACAGCAGCGTGTTCAGGAACTTCAGTGGGTGCAGGAATCTCAGCGATTCCCGCACCCGCAGTCAAGGAATGCTGCTGTCTAAAAATGTGCAGGGCTGCCATTCATTCCTAATGACACCCCACACATCTAAATATGCAGCACAGGTACGGAAACCACAGGAAAATTGCATGTTGCAAAAGCCACTGCGTTTTTTTCTGTGGGAAACGCAGGCAAGGCAGCCCATTCAAATGAATAGGCTTCCATGCCTGCACAAACACAGGCACTAGATGTGACCAAGGCCTAAAGCAGTAGTAAATTATTTTTTTTTTTTTTTTTTAAATGAATAATCTGGTCCTCCTGCAGGTTTAAGTCATGATGTACTAGTATGCACCGCATACTTCTGAACACAGTGGAACACTGATCGTTGTACGGGACTTCTGTGCAAGGTCCTGATCATGTGATCGCTGATTGGCTAATCAGCGATCACATGAAGAGTAGTAAGCAAGATGTCACTTCTGACATCATTGCTTACTACTAGTGAAATCTGTGAATGATCACAGAGGTCACATGGTACAAGGCTATTCACAGCAGCCTTGTACCATGTGACAAGCTTTGACCAATCACAGCTCACACAGTATTTCTCAATGGCTGCAAGAATGCAGCCAGAGAGAAGGAGAAATGATCGTTTTTACAGCCTTTATGGGTGTAAAAGCAATCAGTGTAAAAAAAAAAAAAAAAAAAAAAATCTTCATCACCCCCCCCCACACGTAGTACAGTGTCACCATGGTGACACTACTGCTAAGGTGATAGTATGTTAAAAACCATAAATATTAATATAAAAATGTAAAAAAGAAATGTTTAAAAATTATAATTTTTAGTTATAAATTAATTTGGGTTTTTTTTTGTTTTTTTTTTTAACAAAAAGATAACAGAATAAATTTTGGCCAAGATTTATAATGAAATATTTATTTGCAAAATTTTATAAGAAAAACACTTTTTTTTTTTTTTTTTTTTTTTTTTTTTTTTTTTTTTTTTTGTACATTTTCATTTATATAGCAAAAAAATAAAAATCCCAGTGGTGAATAAATACCACCAAAATAAAGCTTTATCGGTCTCAAAAAAATGCTAAAAAATTCATATGGGTACAGTCTTGCATGACCGCGCAATTGTTATTCAAAGTGTGATAGCACTGAAAGCTGAAAATTGGGCTGGGCAGGAAGGGGGTAAAAGTGTCCGGACTTGAAGTGGTTGATTAAACTTTTTTTGCATTTTTTTTTTCATATTGAGGTGATCAGGATTTGTTTTTTTATGATCGCTTATAACAGTGATAATCATTGTTATAAGCAACCATTTATTATGAATTGATCCATTCTTATCATTGTGTATTGTTGTGATTAGCTGTGATTGGCCACAGTTAATCACATGGTACAGATGGACTGTGATTGGCCCTGTCTGTACCATGTAATCACTGTGACCAATCACAGCTAGCAACACAATAGTACACAATGAATGGGTATTAATTTGAGCCATTGATTGTGTACAATTGCCATGTGATCTGCTGTGATTGGTCACAGTGATCACATGGTACCGTAAGACTGTCAGTGTCAGCTGTCTGCTTTTAAATTGTACAAGTAGAGAGGCAGGGCGGGCCGAGCCACTTTCTGTGTGTTTTACAGCACACAGCTGGCTCAGGAGCGAGCACACATGAGTGCCCCCATGGCAAGCAGCTTGCTATAGTGGGCACTTGTGGAGGGGGGGGGTGGAGCGCCGACAGGGGACCACAGAAGAGGAGGACCGAGGATGCTCTCTGCAAAGCCACTACACAAATTATTTGTTGCTAATTGTTGTTCAGATCAAGCTAAGGACTTGTTTGTGGACCCATTCTTTATGTTTACACTGTTAACTCTTAGATTGTAAGCTCCAAGGAGCAGGGCCCTCCTAACCCTCTTGTATTGAACTGTATTGTCTCCCTTTATTTTGTAACGCGCTGAGCCAACTGATGATACTATATAAATCCTGTATTCTAATAATAATAATTAACTTTTTTGTTTAAATAAGTCTAGGTGTGTGTTTGAATTTTGGGATGTTGGGGTGAAGACAGGGGCGGACTGACAACTCATGGGGCCCCCGGGCAGTAGGGGATCATGGTGCCCCTGTGTCCTTGCCCAAACTCAAAAAAGCCTATGCAAAAGGTACCAGGGGCCCCCTACTGACCCCGGGCCCTCGGGCAGTGCCCAAGTTTCCAAATAGTCAGTCTGCCCCTGGGTGAAGAGGATAATTGCATGGGGGACGGGGGGCCAAGAAAATGTTTGCACAGGGTCCAATCAATAATAAAGATGGCCCTGGTCTCAGTAAATCACACACTGCAATTGTCAATTACTTTCTATCAGTCTCTGTACTTGGCTTTGTACATTCAGACTAGTACACTAATTAACACACCAGACTGCATTCAACTGTGACTTCTGTAGTGAATGGAATTTTAAGTACTGTGCAAATCTTAGTATATTAAATATTTTTCTTCTACTTAAAGCTTCCTCTATATATTGCAATATGAAGAGATTATTTGCAAGTCGCTGATCATTTCATCTGATAAATAAGATTCTAGGAAGATGTCCACAGCTGAATATGCAAATATTTACCTATTAGCTATTTAATTAGAGTCATACACAGCCAGTGAGTCTAGTATCAGAAATAAATTATTCAGCAGAGAGAATTATACATGCTCCAGGAATTTTGGCTGTTTATGTTGCAGAATTCAAACAAAATAACATTGTGCAAGAATCTGTTGAAGTGACAAGTTAAAATTGGCCATAAAAATAGCATAGATTATTTTGTAATAACAGTGATAATAAATATTATGTATGCATATCTTCCCTTTCCTATCCACACAATAACATTTTTTTTTGTGAATACTGTTAATTGTAGGGCAATCTGCCATTTCTGGATTCCAACCCTAGGAGAGGATGATGTATGGATCGGCCACCCACTGCCTAATGAGATGTCCACATCACACATCCCAGGAAGCAATGTTCCAGTAAGGGTGAAATATTGTGGTATTTAAGATATGGCAGAGTCCCCTGTGGCATGTCTGCGTATGTATGGGATTTTGCTCATGTGCAGACACATTGACGGTTCTGCCAGGTCACAAATACCCGGCAGAGACCGGCATAACTGCACAGATGCGGAAATCCTGCACGTGTGCAAACATGCTAAAGTAATCTGTCAAGTCCTAAATACTTGGCAGATATGCCCCAGGTTTATGTGCCTGCAGCATGTCTGCACACATAAGAGATCCCACCATATGCCGCAGGCAACTCTGCCAAGTCTCAAAATACCTTGTAGAGATGTTGCATGCCTGCACTTGCACAGGATCTCACAATCAAGAAGTTACAACTGCCTCCCAGACAAAAGTGCTTGAAGATGGCAGTGTGGAAGCAGAGCTGCACAATGAGAACTTTGGCTAGAAGAAAGTGGGACCCAGAGAAGAGAAAAATGGATGGAGGATCTGCATGACTAAAGGAAGAAACAGGTCAGAAAAGAGTTAAAAATGTGAGCTCAGGGTGGAGGGGGTGTAGGTCTTAGGGCTCATGTACACGGGGTGTTTAGAAAACTCTTCTGACCAATGGAAACTGACTGCTAAAAAACGTAGGTTAAGAAACGTCAGTTTAGCCGCGTTTGCATACCATGTTTATTTGCGTTTACATTTAGAAGCATTTCTAAAAGATAACCTCAGGAGACCTTCCCAAATACCCAGAATGCACTGAAAAATAGTAAAAAATTAACTATTTCAGACATTTTGAGAGGAATTGAGAGATCAGAAGCAGAGAGATCAGTATGTGTTGAGATTGCCGGTCTTTTCTTTCTGGTTGTATTCACTATGGATCCCATCATGAGCATAATGCAGCACGTTCTACCACTTTTTTTCCTTCACGCGAAACCTAGAACTGACTGCGCTGGTGTACCGGGTCCATTTGAATACATGGAAAACGCTTTGCATGCATTTCTGATGATGATAAAAGGCTCTAGACAGCATCTGGACATGTAACAGTTAAAAAACACTTCTAAACATAAACGCTTATAAATGTGGTTAAAAACAGTTAAAAAGACACTTCAAAACGTAAACGCTTATAAGTGCGGTCAAAAAACAGTTAAAAAGACACTTCTAAACGTAAACGCTTATAAATGCGGTTAACCGTGTTTACACACGATTACAAGTGTTTGGCATTTGAAACGTCAGTAAAATCTACTCCTGAACGCAAGTTTGGTGCGTTCAAAAAAACAACTGTAAACTCAGCTGCCTGTAAACGTTTGTAAATGACTATGTGTACATGGACACAGGAAAACATTAGGGAGAGTTCAGGGGCTGCTGAAAAAAACACTCAACAGCTCCTGAATGTCAGTTTAGGAGCTGCAGTGTACATGAGTCTTTACTGGATTGGAGGCTGAAAGTCAGACGGGCATGGTGGAGCTGCAAAGGTGGTTCATGTGAAGGATGTATTTATTCTGGAAAGTTTAGAGGAAGAGGACGTTGCCCGAACCGCTAACCTTAGAATTGTGGCTCATTGTATGTTACGGATTGTGGGGAAATATTATTTAAGAAAAAAATATGCCACAGCAAAGTGGACGGTCAGGGGGTCTTTGGGGAGACAGTGAATATTTGAATTGTCACAAAAATGGGGAGGTCTATCTGGGTATTGGTGGTTCTCCCAGAAGTTAGGTCCCCTTGGGAAAAAATTTAGAACATCTGAGCTCGTAATGTCTTTCGAGGCTGGTTGGGGGCATGGCTGAGGACAATTCTAGGGGTGATTCCAAATATAAACTGTGCCTTTAACCGCCTCTCGCCCGCCATATAGTACAATGACAGGCGCAAGGCGGTTCTCTCGTTCTGGGAGGACATCATATGATGTCCTCCCATTCCAACCACATATGTGCGGCTCCGGGAGTGCGCAGCGCAGCGATCGGCGGTGCACTGTGTCCCTCGGACACAGCGGATCACCGATCAACAGAAAGAGCCGAATATGTCGGCTCGGTCATGTGATCAGCTATGTCCAATCACAGCTGATCACATGTAAACAGGGAAATGCCGGTTATCAGCATTTCTCTCCTCACGAGCTGTCACGCTGACAGCTCGTGAGGAGAGGAGAGACGGTAATCGGCATTTCTCGGAGAGGACATGTACACTGATCATCAGAGCACTGATGATCAGTGTGCCCTGATGATCTGTGTAGCCCCAGCAGTGCCACCTGTCAGTGTCCATCAGTGCCAGCTGTCGGTGCTCATCCATGCCACCTGCCAGTGCCCATCAGTGCCACATTTCAGTGCCACATCAATGCCACATATCAGTACCCATCTGAGCTGCCTTTCAGTGTCACCCATCAGTGCCAGTTAGTGCCACCTATCAATGCCAGTCAGTGCCACCTATCAGTGTTGTCAGTGCCACCAATCAGTGCCTATCAGTGCCACCTATCAGTGCCAGTCAGTGTCACATATCAGTGTTCATCAGTGCCCGTCAGTGCTGCCTATCAGTGCCTTCCTAACAGTGCCAGTCAGTGCCGCCTATCAGTGCCACATATGAGTGCCATATATGAGTGCTGCCTTTCAGTGCCCATCAGTGATGCCTGTGAATGTCCATCAGTGCCACCTATCAGTGTCCATCAGTGCAGCCTATCAGTGCCCATCACTACAGCCTCATTAGCGTACATCAGTGAAGGAGAAAAATCATTTATTTACAAAATTTTATAACAAAAAACTAAGAAAATAAATTTTTTTTTCAAAATTTTCAGTTGTTTTTGGTTTAATAAAAAATTAAAAACCCAGAGGTGATTAAATACCACCAAAATAAAGCTCTGTCACAAAAAAAAATGATAAAAATTTCATATGGGTACAGTGTTGCATGACCGCGCAATTGTCATTCAAAATGTGACAGCGCCGAAAGCTGGAAATTGGCCTGGGCAGGAAGGGGGTATAAGTGCCCTGTAGGCTAGTGGTTAAGGACACACAAACCCCCCTTCTGGTTTCATTGTCGAAATTGTTTATTGTTTGTTCTGATGTTATGTATTTCATTTTGTAAATAAAATGGCAGCACAGTATGGCTATTTAAACCCATGTCACGCAGTCCGTGTAATTGATGGTAGAAAGACCGAGATTGACAAAGACCACACTGGACTCCATGGTCTAGTAAATATATTTTTTAGCATAAGATACCTGAATTGTTCTGTTGGCTCCATGACTAGAGCACCAGAGATAGGTCATCCAAATCCCCCCCCCCCCTTACTATACTTAAATAAAAACCATGACACCAATTTTGGAGTAAATGGCCAACATGGCCTTTTATTAACAAACATTTTAACACCAACCATTCCTTATAACAGAAACATACAGAGTTGTTGTTGTTGGTCTTCAAAGGCACCCCACTAAAATGATCTGAAATGCACCTGCGGACAACCATATTACACAAAGGCCTCCAGCCGCAACCAACCAGCTCGGAGACAACCATACCGTCCGCAGTGCAGAACCACCACCTTCCAGTTAAACCTTGGTTAACTGGAATGTCCCCGGGCACACCATACCACCGATGGTTCCCACACCATTATCTGTACCTCCAAGATAAGAACCGCCTCCAAGACCAACAATTGCCCAAAACCGAAATAACCCCCTTTTCCCCCGAGAGGAACACAATACTCCCTATAATAGGGAGGGCGGGAGGGTATCTCACTCACCAACGTCCAGCTCCGAATGATGCCCCCCCCCGGGACACCCCACCCTAAGGTGCGGCAGAGCCCACCCACGCTCTCCCTCCACCAACCAGCGCCCCCAGCTATACTTTTCCACACCCCCTGGCACATCATTAACCCTTTCTATTCTCCTTCCCACTCTAGGTCTAGTCATGCCTGCCCTGCGCTAATTTTCCTTTCCTTTTTTCGCTACGGGCATTACTATCTAAGCATTGATAATGTGATCTCTGTAACTTACAGTTGTGATTAGAGATGAGCAAATCGAACTCGGCGAAGTGGAATTCGTTTAGAATATTAGGAAAATTTTGATTCGCGACGAATCCGAAAATTAGCAGACTTCGGATGCGCGAATCGAAATTTTTCCTAAAATGGCGGCGACATGTGCGGCGACGGAGCGGGGATGTCTGGGAAGGCGCGCAGACAAGGCGCGCTGACCCATAATGCATTCATTCATGACATGTGATCGCATTAGCCAATCAGCAGCCAGCCAGCCAGCACTGTGTAATGGTCGAGCTATAAATGGCGGCCATTTTAGAATTCTCCATTTGCCTCCAGTCATTCAAGAGAGGCAGACCTGGCTGTATTGAGGGAGAGAGTTAGGGACACAGAAACGTTACTTAGGGCCAGAGAAACGTTACTTAGGGCCAGAGAAACGTTACTTAGGGACACAGAAACGTTACTTAGGGACACAGAAACGTTACTTAGGGCCACAGAAACGTTACTTAGGGCCACAGAAACGTTACTTAGGGCCACAGAATCGTTACTTAGGGCCACAGAAACGTTACTTAGGGCCACAGAAACGTTACTTAGGGCCACAGAATTGTTACTTAGGGCAGACACAAATTGTTACTTAGGACAGACACAGAATTGTTACTTAGGGACACAGAATTGTTACTGAGGGACACAGAATTGTTACTCAGGGCAGACACAGAATTGTTACTTAGGGACAGACACAGAATTGTTACTCAGGGACAGACACTGAATTGTTACTGAGGGAAACAGAATTGTTACTTAGGGACAGACACAGAATTGTTACTCAGGGACAGACACAGAATTGTTACTGAGGGACACAGAATTGTTACTGAGGGACACAGAATTGTTACTGAGGGACACAGAATTGTTACTGAGGGACACAGAATTGTTACTCAGGGACAGACACAGAATTGTTACTGAGGGACACAGAATTGTTTCTGAGGGACACAGAATTGTTACTCAGGGACACAGAATTGTTACTCAGGACAGACACAGAATTGTTACTGAGGGACACAGAATTGTTACTGAGGGACACAGAATTGTTACTCAGGGACACAGAATTGTTACTCAGGGACACAGAAATTGTTACTCAGGGACAGACACAGAATTGTTACTGAGGGACACAGAAATGTTACTCAGGGACACAGAATTGTTACTGAGGGACACAGAATTGTTACTCAGGGACAGACACAGAATTGTTACTCAGGGACACAGAATTGTTACTGAGGGACACAGAATTGTTACTGAGGGACACAGAATTGTTACTGAGGGACAGACACAGAATTGTTACTGAGGGACACAGAATTGTTACTGAGGGACACAGAATTGTTACTGAGGGACAGACACAGAATTGTTACTGAGGGACAGACACAGAATTGTTACTGAGGGACACAGAATTGTTACTGAGGGACACAGAATTGTTACTGAGGGACACAGAATTGTTACTCAGGGACAGACACAGAATTGTTACTCTCAGGGACAGACACAGAATTGTTACTGAGGGACACAGAATTGTTACTGAGGGACACAGAATTGTTACTCAGGGACAGACACAGAATTGTTACTCAGGGACAAACACAGAATTGTTACTGAGGGACACAGAATTGTTACTCAGGGACACAGAATTGTTACTCAGGGACACAGAATTGTTACTGAGGGACACAGAATTGTTACTGAGGGACACAGAATTGTTACTCAGGGACACAGAATTGTTACTCAGGGACAGACACAGAATTGTTACTCAGGGACAGACACAGAATTGTTACTGAGGGACACAGAATTGTTACTGAGGGACACAGAATTGTTACTCAGGGACAGACACAGAATTGTTACTCAGGGACAAACACAGAATTGTTACTGAGGGACACAGAATTGTTACTCAGGGACACAGAATTGTTACTCAGGGACACAGAATTGTTACTGAGGGACACAGAATTGTTACTGAGGGACACAGAATTGTTACTCAGGGACACAGAATTGTTACTCAGGGACAGACACAGAATTGTTACTGAGGGACACAGAATTGTTACTGAGGGACACAGAAATTGTTACTCAGGGACAGACACAGAATTGTTACTGAGGGACACAGAATTGTTACTCAGGGACACACAGAATTGTTACTCAGGGACAGACACAGAATTGTTACTGAGGGACACAGAATTGTTACTCAGGGACACAGAATTGTTACTCAGGGACACAGAATTGTTACTCAGGGACAGACACAGAATTGTTACTGAGGGACACAGAATTGTTACTGAGGGACACAGAATTGTTACTGAGGGACACAGAATTGTTACTCAGGGACACAGAATTGTTACTGAGGGACACAGAATTGTTACTCAGGGACAGACACAGAATTGTTACTCAGGGACACAGAATTGTTACTGAGGGACACAGAATTGTTACTGAGGGACACAGAATTGTTACTGAGGGACACAGAATTGTTACTGAGGGACACAGAATTGTTACTGAGGGACACAGAATTGTTACTGAGGGACAGACACAGAATTGTTACTCAGGGACAGACACAGAATTGTTACTGAGGGACACAGAATTGTTACTGAGGGACACAGAATTGTTACTGAGGGACACAGAATTGTTACTCAGGGACAGACAGACACAGAATTGTTACTGAGGGACACAGAATTGTTACTGAGGGACACAGAATTGTTACTCAGGGACAGGGACACAGAATTGTTACTGAGGGACACAGAATTGTTACTGAGGGACACAGAATTGTTACTCAGGGACACAGAATTGTTACTCAGGGACAGACACAGAATTGTTACTCAGGGACACAGAATTGTTACTCAGGGACACATAATCGTTGAATTAAAGAGTATGTCAGACAACATGCAGAGGAGTGGCAGAGGAGGCAATGTTTTAGGAGCGAGCAGACGTGGCAGCAGAGGAAGGGGTCGAGGCAGCACTAGTCGCAGCCAGAGGCCATTGCTCCCGGTGTCATCCAGCGGTCGTGTCTCCACCGACAACCCTGCCGTCATCGATTGGTTGGCTCAGTCGTCTTCCTCTTCCCAGGTCACCTCTGACACCTACAGCCAATGGTCGGTGGGTACGTCAGACACAACCGTTAGTTGGCATGGCCCGGGAGCAAGCCCACTGAAATCACGTGTCCTCTACCTGCCCCTGTCCTTTGGTGTTCCCTCACCAAGCGAAGTATCGCATGCTGTGGGCTCAGCCCCACTGTACAGTGAGGAAGAGCTAACAGAGGGCGGTCAGGAACGGGGGGAGACATCCGCCTCTTCAGCAGCCAGGCGAAGAAGTAGTGGCGAGGAGAGTGGCTCGGTAGCCGGTCTAGAGACAGGTCTGTCTCCTGACCCACACGCAGCCGAGGGGGCTAGTAGTGAGGCGGAGACCCTAATTGATGATGATGAGGCTGATCGCACTTGGCAGCCTCGTCGTCATCAGGCTATTGCTTCCGCATCATCAGGAGAAGAGGGTGGCAGCTTGGCAGCGAGCAAAACAGTCGGTGGGTTGCCCAGGAGGCAGCAGGGTCGCAGCAGTGTCAGT